AGGTGATAATACTGATCAAGTGCAGTCCCCTAAATAAACCAGTTGAAGGAACTCATTTACTTGGACATGTTAAATGATCTGCCCAAGGTGGCATGGCTGGCTGGTGGAGAAGCTTGGGTGGAGCTTTTGCTCTCATGATTCTGGTGCTTTAATTTCAAATTGTCTTCTTTTGGCCTCTAAAATGTCAATAAATTGTAGTTACTTAAGGATTGTTTTACTTTTATTCCATCCCACTAGTCTTTACCCCAGCTTTCCAGTTCACCCCCCAGAATCAAAGGTAGAAGAGCCCTGCTGGTGCCTGTGAGCCAGTGTGGCAGGGAGGGAGGCAGCCGGCCAGGCTGATGCAGCGGTCTCCCCTGCCTTCTCAGTCTGCCCTCAACTTGATAAAAATCATTGTCAGGAATCTAGGGACCAGTTGTTTAATCTTCCATGTCAAGTATATTCCCAGTTATGTACTCGGTAAACCAAGGTCTAACAAATTTAAGTGTATTTTATTCATTTCAGTTGAATGTAGTATACATGTTACCTGTGGATTTTGTATTACTTTCAAGGGCAAAATTGAGTATTATACTGTTACTAGTCATAAAAAACTGTACTTCTTTAACGTCAAATCCTCTAAAGCCATCATCCTGGGAAGATTAGAGCAAGTGAGCGTCTGGTGGTGGTTCCTCAGCTTCCTGATCACTAGAACAAGAACTTCATTCTGACGCCTTCCTTCCGCCTTCCCTTTCCCAGCCAGTGGTCGTCGGGTGCAGTTGATCGTTACCTTCACAGAATCGTTCCGCCCTCCGCCTGTGCCGTTCCCACTGCCCTAGTGATTCCCTTTGGAACTCCCTGTGGTAGCTATTCTAAATCGTTGCCCTTCCCCTTCCTATTTTAGAGGAATGAAGGTATGTTCTTTCCTAAGACTGACTTCCCTACCTGTGCCCTGGGTCTTGTCAGTCTCTTTAGAGTTCTGTCTCTATTGGCTGTGAGTGATTATGAGTGTCCTCTGGAGCCAAATTGCCTGAGTTCAGACCTCACTTCTGTCAGTTTCTGTGTGATCTTGGCCAAGTTATTTAATCTTTTTATGCCTCAATTTCCCCATCTGTAGGGTGCAAATAATAATAGTAGCTGTCTCAGAATTGTGATTTAGAAGTGTCTGACAGTAGAAGTACTCCATGTATTTTCCTTTTTCTTTAGGGCTGTGGCTTTCTTTCTCTTGTTCCTTCAAGCCCTTAAACTTTGAGTGTGGTCACATCTCCCCAGTTGGAGACAAATTCCATGAAGTCAGCATTCAGTCTTTCTCCTTTCCCTTCGCCATTAACTACTGTTTGCTCTGCCTCAGTCCCCTGGGTACCCCTGGCCCGTTACCCTGGACTTTATTCCTCCAGTCTCCGGAAATGCGCAGGGGCCCAGTTGTCAAGCCCAATGGTTTGTTTTAAGTCATTCTCAAGTTTTGTGGTTTCTGGTAAATTGACGAACTCTCTCCTGAAAATGTTCTCCCTTGACGTCTAACATGCTGCTTTCTCCCTCATTACTTTTTCTTCTTAGCTTTCTGATTATTTCTTCTTCGTTCCCCTCAACTTGTTTTTCTTTTGCTGCTTGATGTTGACATGTCCCCTTGGTATTGACTTTAGTCCAAAATACCTGTTAGGTGAGGCCTTCCTGTTAGATTCATGCTCATGTTTCCTTTTGCTAAGTGGCCTTCTCCACCTAGATATCCTCCTGCACATTCTTCAAAATTAACATGTTCAAACTGTGCCCTTCCTCCCCCTTCTGTTTCTATATCACAGTCTTTCTAGTCACCAGTCTGGAGTGTCCAGGGTCGTCTTTGGTGATATTCCTTCACGTTTCACTCAGCTGTGTTGATGCGGCTTTAAAATGTCCTTGGATGTTTTTGTTTTTGTTTTCAACTCCACTGCGGTAGTTCAGATCTTTCTCTGGATACTTGTGGTTGTCTCAGCAGTGGTCTTCCTGCTTCCATTCTCTTTGCCAGTTTCTGCTTCAGAGTCTTCAGTGTTAATTTCCTCAGGTATAAATGTCTGTAGTAGTCCCTTCATCAGAAACTTCCATAGACATCATTTCTGCTAGATAAAAGCCCAGATTTATCCTTAGTGAGGTTTTTAAGGTGCCTGTAAGTTACAGCTAGATTTGGCTGAGATTAGCTGTATTATAATTGTAGAATACACATTTACTTTCTGTTTTCAATTACTGGTTTTGACACAACATTGTAAAATGACTATAACTCAATAAAAAATGTTAAAAATAAAACATTACACTAGTGCATAGCGTATAAGTGCCTTATACAAACTAAATGCTCAGTAAATACTAGTTTTCGTGAAAAAAAATTACTGGTACATAATTGAATCCAATTTCTAAGTCAGAATTTAGATTGCTGTTTGAAATACTTCACTTAGATATTAACGGATACATTCAAATATTAATTGTTTGGATATAAGGTTTCAAATGTTGCCTTCATGCTTTTAAAAGATGAGTTTGTCAAAAGTGATTCACAAATAAACATTATAGACTAGGGAGTTAAGAGGAATTGGGGTATTTTTTGTCACTTTGAACATTTTATTTGTCTCTATTCAAAAAATCAAAATAAAGATTCTTAACTTGCTTGACATTGGTAACTATGAAGATCAGAGCAACACTACTCCAAAAGCAGTAAAAGAAGGTTTAACAGAGGGCCTTTTAAAAGTAGGAAAGTGGTAAGGTGGTTTTCTAGTCTTAATTTTCTGTATCTGCCACTTAATTTGGAGTGAAATTTTCATTTGTAAACAAAATGTGGATTAGATTAGATAGGACTGAAGCCGGTTATGATTAGGTGTGAATTAGATGGGGTTGAGGTGTATTACAGCTCTTTTAATGAGTGAGATGGTTAAATGGCCCAGTACCTTCATACTCAGTAACTGCTAGGATCTTAGTGTATTTTCGTATCAAGAATTTTACATACATTTTTAAGTAACAGCTTTATTGAGATACAGTTCACATACCATAAAGTACAGTTCACTGGTTTTCAGTGTATTTCCAGAGCTGTGCATCCATCACCAATGTCAGATTCCAGAACATTTCATCACTCCAGAGAGAAGCCCTGTACTCATTAGGGCTCACTCCATTCCCTCTCCTCTTAGCCACTGGAAACCCTGATCTACTTGTCTGTGGATTTGCCTGTTTTGAATATTTCATGGAATCGTGAGAGATGTGGTCTTTTATGTCTGGCTCTTTGACTTAGCATAGTGTTTTTCAAGGTTCACCGGTATTGTAGCGTGTATCAGTAGTACCTCATTGTGTTATTGAATGTATTCCATTGTATGGATATGCCACATTTTGTTTATCCATTCATCAGCTGATAGACGCTTGAGTCACTTCTACTCTGGCTACTATGAATGCTGCCACTGAACTTTCATGTACAGGTTTTGTGTGAACATGCCTCATTTCTCCTCATTTCTCAGTGGCATTGTTAAGTGCTAACTCCCCGTTTGATTTTTTGAGGAACTGCGCAACTGTTTACTGAAGCAGCTGTACCATTCTGCAGTTCTTTTAACAGTGTGTAAGGGTTCTAGTTTCTCAACAGCCTCACCAATTTGTTACTGTTGTCTTTTTTGTTAACAGCCACCCTAGTGGGTATGAAGTGGTTTTTTATTGTGGTTTGATACACAGTTCCCTAATGACTAATGATGTTGATTTTCCCCAGGTTCTTGTGTTGACATTTTAAAAATCTTTAGAGAAATATCTATTCAAATCCTTGCCCATTTTAAAATTGTGTTGTCTTTTGTATTGTTGTTATGAGGATTCTTTATATATTCTAGATAGAAGTTTCTTACTGGATATATGATTTGCAAATATTATCTCCCAGTGTGTGGGTTACTTTTTTATTGCACATGCATTTTAATTTCTTAATCAAATAACTCGACATTAATTTGGGGCATCATTAATATTTTGGCATTGTTTAGTATTTAAATTCTATTAAATTTATAATTAGAAAAGCTAACATGCAAACCAAAGTAGTTATTAATACATTAACAAAAATTATGGGCATAGTAAAGTTTATGTAAACAGCACATTCCTTAAAGAAGATGAAAAGATCGAAAACTGGTTTTTAGATCTTTGGTTATCAGGCTGTATAACTGCTTCCTCATTTCAGAATAGCAGGTTATAACATGGTAACAGGTTATTTTTTCTGGTTGGTATAACCCTAAAGTAAACTATCCTCTTTGTTATAGTAAATATCTTATTTATTTTTAATTGAGATATAGTTGACATACAACATTATGTAAGCTTAAGGTTATAGGGTGTTGATTTTTGATACATTTGTATATTGCAATATTACCACCATAGGTTAGCAGTCACCTCTGTCACAACACATAATTATCATTTCTTTTTTTGTGGTGGGAACAATTAAGAGCTAGTCTCCTTGCAGTCTTATTTATTCTAATTTTAATTTAAAACTTGGAGATTTTATAAGTGAAATTTTAAAGGTATGTGACTAATACATTATTGGATGTTAATCACATAATTTTGACATGTGAGTAGAACAAAGACCTTTTAATTCTTCTGTTAGAGCAAGATAAGCTGTGAGAGTGGAATTTTCCCAGCCCAGCCACTCTGACCGTCTATTATGTGTTGTAAAAAGCATTCTGGGTTTATTAACACTCAAACTGGGGAGATGACCACCCCCATCAGGACGCTGAGTAAACCTTTATGAGAAGAAATAATCCAGCAGCCAGGAAACACTGTTTTCCTGGTATTGGGGTTAGAGGGGCTGCTGTAGCTGAATCTTCCCTTACTCCCACGTGATGGTGATTAATGGCTTACATACGTAATCTTTTTAGAAGTTAAATGACTGAAATCAGTGTTTGTAGCTCAGATTTTCTAGTTTTCTTGTTAGATGAAAAATACACCTTTAACAATTTTAAGCGTATGCCAGTCTATAACCAAAAGTTACATCGTGTTTTATATTTGGCATGATAAATATCGAAGCCTCCTTCTGATTTTTTTTCCCCTCATTCTAGGCCTCAGGAGTGCAAGTTGCTGATGAAGTATGTCGCATTTTTTATGACATGAAAGTTCGGAAATGTTCTACACCAGAAGAAATCAAGAAAAGAAAGAAGGCTGTCATTTTTTGTCTCAGTGCAGACAAAAAGTGCATCATTGTAGAAGAAGGCAAAGAGATCTTGGTTGGAGATGTTGGTGTAACCATAACCGATCCTTTCAAGCATTTTGTGGGAATGCTTCCTGAGAAAGATTGTCGCTATGCTTTGTATGATGCAAGCTTTGAAACCAAGGAATCCAGAAAAGAGGAGTTGATGTTTTTTTTGTGGTAAGCATTGTTAGAAATATTGAGCCTCTAAAACTCAGAGTTCATCTCTTACTGTCAGCACCTCACCAAAGTCTTCTCCCAGATGCCCTGCCAGGAGCTGGCCTCCCACTTGACTTGTGTGTCTGTGGTTTGCTGCTTTTGAAGTTGTTATCATTGCCTCCAGCTGTAGTTGCTCTGTGTTCACTGTCCAGTAGGGTAGCCACTAGCTACTTGTGGCTGTTAAAATTAAATAAAATTTAAAATTCAGTTTCTTAGTTGAATTACCACATTTTAAATGCTCAGCAGCCACATGTGACTAGTGGCTCCCTTATTAGGTAGCACAGATGTAGAACATTTCCGTCATTTCAGAAAGCCCTGTTGAACAGCGTTGCTCTAAATAATGAAAAAAAGTGCTATAAAGTGGTGGCCTTTTTCTTGAAAGGCTATTTAAGTTAGTTATTAAAGTAAATTCATATTTGAGCTTAAGCTTGCCTTTAAAGTCACACCTATATTCCTTGTTTAATTGTATTATAGTGCATTCCTTGATAGGGAATTCATAATACAGTGAGAATGTTCTCTAGCTTCCATGAGGAATGGGGGAAGTGGTAACAGTCTCTGATTTGAGGCGAGTGAGACATTGGCCTGAGCCGGGGGGCAAGGCAAGGAGGGGCTTCGCTCTCAGCTGTGTGCCACCAGTAACTTGGGATGTAGGGCTTGGCAGTCAAAAGAATTCTGGTTTCAAGGAATGTAACTCTGGACCGTGCCTCGGTCCATTTCAGAAGCCCTTGCTGCTCCTGCTGAAACCAGGATGCTGTGAGGTTGGAGATGTGAGGTCAGGGCAGGTATTGGGCGCTTGCTGTTGAGCAGCCTGGTGGCCACGGACATAAGTGCATAAAGATGATAGTGAGACTTCAGCCGAGCATGTTGGATGAAGGTGCACTCGTTAAACTCCTTTCTGCCACATGCCAGGTATTGTGTCAGGCCTGGGAAAATAACTGTGAAGAAGACAGGTCAAGCCCTGCCCTTCTGGGATTTAGTCTGAGTGGCAGATACGGCAGCTAAAGATTAAGCTTTTAAATTGGTGAATATTTCCTTCATTCACACTGTTTTTTATCCTGGCTTTTTATGCTTTTTTTCCTACTATGAAAATGATACATCCTTATTAAAGAACATTTGTAAAGTAAGAGTAGAAAGAAGGAAAGGAAATTCAGTGTTCATGCAGTATTTTTACATATTAGTTTTTAAAGAAAGCTGAAACCTTATTATAGGAGTTTTTCATAACAGGCTCTGTTTAGGGCTCAAGGAATGGGTCTTAAAGTATTTTAAAGACCTGGTTAGAGTAAAATCAGAACAGCTAAAGTTTTGTTTTTTTTTTTTCCTGTCCTTGACCTATTTTGCATAAGAAAAGTACCCACTTAACTTTGCAGCTCAGGCATCTGCCCAGACCTGAGGTCCTTGTGCCTTGCCTCCCTCCTTGGACCGGAGATTGAGAGGGACACGCCCCTGAGAGCCAGAGGATGTGCTCTTTCCCTTGTTCCTCAGAATAGAAACTCTGCCCGCTGTGGGAGGGGTGGGCGAGGCGAGGTCCGTGCCAGTCCGTGGTGGCAGTGGCTGTTGAACATCCTGGAAATAGGGAAGCTAAATGGAATTATTAAGTGCTTAAAAGTTTTTAATTGCACTCCTTTTGCCCTTGGTGTCATAGTGGTGTGGCGTGGAGGCAGGCCCGAGGGTGGGGGGTGTAGTGAGAAAACGCATTCGTAGATGAGCCGCTTCTGTGCATTGTTAGTAGTTCTGTTACTTTTCAGCATTACTGGTGAGGAAAGTGGTAAAGCATATGCTGTGCTTCCAGTGTTCATTAACGGGGCGGGGGGCACTAAAAATTCTGTAAATATAAGAGTAATATTGACAGTTAAGCCAAAATTATTGCTGAATTGCCATTAACATTAAAGAAAGAAATCCTTGTGACATGTTTGTTACGGTAGTCTGAGGTGGAAGACGGTGCTCACGTGGTCAGAACTGCTGTTGGAGTAGATGGAGGTGAAGGGGCTGGGGGCGGTGAGAAGGGGGCTTGTACTTTGTGTATAGTACGTTCCTTTTCAGAATACAACCTGAAGCAAAAATTGCTAGCATTTCTTAATTCTGGGTGGCAGATACTTGATTTACAGATTATTCTCTGTACCTTTCTGTATTTTGAAACTTTTTTCCACCAGAAAATACTAAAAACCTCATATGAAGATGGTTGTTAGCCTGAACTCAAGCCTTTATTGATACAAATGAAAAAAATTATTTTAAAGAAAATACTTGGGTAACATGGTGAATCATCCAGTGTTGTTCTTTTATTGTAGCCCCATTAACTGATCAGTGGTCCTCAGCTTTTTTCTCATCTTGGTCACCCTGAGTTATTCTCCGTATGCCTGTCTGCAGCAGTCACTCTCCGAGTAGGTGGAGAAAAGAAAAAATTGTGTAGAGAAACTCTCCCAGGAGACTCTGGGGATCCTCCCCCATCCCTGATGCACATGTTCAAAACGATGTAAATTGTACTTTTCCTAAACTAGTTTTCTCATTTTTGGTACCTCTATCCAGGGCACCAGAACTAGCACCTCTGAAAAGCAAAATGATCTATGCAAGCTCCAAGGATGCAATCAAAAAGAAATTTCAAGGTATGGTTTGGTTTACTTCCAGGTATTTAGAGGTGTGGTGAACCCCTGGAGTGGGGGCCATCTTTTCTGAGGAGCACCTTCCTCTCCTTGGAGAGTCTTGGCCACAGAGAAGGGAAGCGCTGCCTTTTTACAGGAAAAAACTCGGAAGGTTGAACCCAGCTTACAGCATCTCTGCCTTGTGCCAATCACTCTGGGTCTGAAAAGGCCATATTAATAACCCCATTCTGTCGACATTTGTGTGCGTATCACTTGTTCAGTCTCGTTTTAAACTAGTTGAGATGCTGCCAAGTTTCTCACATAGCAGGTGGAGACTCACTGGCTGACACTGGTCACACTAAATAATAAATTTGCCGTTGCCTCTGAATGTAGTTGACACAACAAAGTTGCAAAAAGGAAATGGTCATAAATGGGAGGGATGCTCTTATCTTTGGCTTTACTTTGAAATGATATGATTGTAGGTTATTGACTCATCTCTGTCCAAGGGAAAGTGGCCTCACTTCTTGAGCTGGCCAGTTCTGTTTGACTTGCCACTGGGGACTGGGATCCTGATGAGATGGCCAGAATGGACTTACTGTTCCAGCAGGAGGGAGTGTTGGTATGATGGAGCACAAGCATGGGGCGAGTGCCTGGAGGCCTGTGCTGAGAGCTGATTAAGTTTGTCATCTAACAGCATGTGGCCTTGGCCCAAACTGCTTAACTTCCTTGGGCCTGGCTTTTCTCAGCTGTGAATGGGAGATGCGCAGTCAGAGAGGTGGTTGCCCCACCTTCCTGCTGTGGCTAGCTCCGAACAGCTGGGAGAGTCCAGGTCACAGGGGTTTGGCCCAATGTCGTTTTCATTTTGTTTGTTTTACTGTGACTTGAGTGTTCTGTTCTTGTAGTAGATCAGGTTTGCCCTAGCTTGTTTTACTTAGGAAAACAGAATTCTCACTTCTTTCCTGAAACCTGCCGCTGCGTCGTTCAGTCCTTGTCAGCGTCCACTTGTCTTGGTTTGATGTTGGGCCAGCCCCTGGAAGTGCGTCCACCGGTTGGGTACCTGGTGTTTTCACATGACTCCTTAGCCTCAGCGCTTCCCCAGCGCTCCCGGGAGAGAGTCATTGGGTCCCTGCTCATCCTTGCTCTGCGTCGCCTTTCAGGAAAGGAGCTGTTCCATTCACTTGATCTGCTGGCGTGAAAAACCGTCTCCCTGGTGCCTTTTTCCCTAGTGAAACCATCACTGGCTTTCTCCAGTCTAAGTGGCCCAAAAGATGGCCTGCTGTGCTTTCAGCAGCTTAAGAAATGGTCTTAAAATTATGGAAAGTCAGAAAACAGTGCAGCTGTTTAAAGGAGAGCAGCTGTTTACAGAGAAGCTACTGTATATTATTCCATAATTGAGCTCCTTGTGCAGTGTGGTGACGTAATTTTTCTGAGAAAGTAGTCAGCAAAACATGTTACATAGTTTTCATTGTGACAGGTCTCTTAAATGTATTGCATGGTACCACAGAGCAGAAGTGACCCCATTTGTAAGTTCTCCATCCCTCAACACAGGCAACCGTATCAGCTGTGCAGTCAAAACATCAAATTCCTGGTTTTACTTCCATTTCGGAAACCAAGAAGCTTTATTACTAGACCTGCTTTTTAACTTTTTTGTTGAAATACAGTGTATCTGTAGAAGAGCGTCCATGAATTGCTGTAGAACTTGAATTTTCACATGCTGAGCATAACGGTGGTTCCCTGATTTGATGGCCTTGGAAGTCTCTCTCCAGCCCCTCCAGTCACACCACTTCCTCTTGCTCCTTCCTCCACAGGGTAACCAGTGCCCCGGCTTCTAACAGCATAAAGTAGCTTTGGCTGATGAGGTGTTATACAAGTGAAATTATCCAGAACGTGTGCTGTTACGTGGCTGCTTCTCGCTAACATTGGTTTCTGAGAGTCGCTCCTGCTGGTGCGCGTGGTTGCAGGTTTATTCCCGTTGCTGGGTGGTTTGTATATGCCACAGCTTCTCTACCCTTGTGTGAACTGGTCTTTTAAAATTATGTGACGTGTTAGAGAAATAGGTAAGCTACTGCCTGAATTCTAAATAGGATTGTTTTTCCTCCCTAGGGATAAAACACGAATGTCAAGCAAATGGACCAGAAGACCTCAACCGGGCTTGTATTGCGGAAAAGCTAGGTGGATCCTTAATTGTAGCTTTTGAAGGATGCCCTGTGTAGATCGTCATTCAGTGCCACAAATCGAAAGCTTCTGTGTTTAATGTTCTCCTCTTGCTATATAAGTAAAGCAAATACGTTTAGGCCGGGGACTCACTGAGGGGGGCTGTCTTGTCATCAGTTAGAGTAAACCCACTATTCTGTGAACATGTGCAGGTGGCCCTAAATAAATCTGAAATCTAAAGTTTTATTGGTGTGAAACTATAAATTCTTATTGGCCAAATGCCTGTTTTGATGAGTTGGCTTGTAAAGATTTTTGTTAAGCTCATGATTTTTAAATAACGCAGTTCACAAAACTGTACAAGGCCCTACGGAGAGAACTGTTGCATCTTTGTTAACGTCAGCAGTTACTTTGTTTCTTTTGCTTAAAGAGTTGATCATAATCTGGTTATAATTTTGGTCCCAATTCTTTATTCTCTGCTAAACTAAATTGAAGAATGGAAAGTAATTCTCCTCATTAACAGCACTGATAGACTAACTACAGGAAGATTAAGTCAGGCGGCCCCTTGATTCTACCAGACACGCCACGAGGCTGCCTGGAAACTGCGTACACTTAGAACCAGCAGCGCTCATCTTTGCAAAGCACGATTTCACGCACGTGGTTGGAACACAGGAAGCAGCTCCCGCATCTGCGGTGAGCTGTCCCCTCACTGGTCCGGAGGCTGTTCCGAGAGTGATCTCGCACCTTGGAAATCAGGAGACTCTGCACTGTCTTGTAACAACTAATTGTAATGCAAATTAGGGCTCCGTTGTAACACACTTTGTTAATGAAAACGGTTAAGATGCTATATTGACAAACGGGAACACCCGTGATGTCTTTAATTATGTCTCCTTCGGAACTTTGTTGCTTCTGATTCCATAAGGTGTGGAAGAACATTACGTACGTTTACTCTGGGGCCTGGGAGAACGTGATTTCCTAGAGCAGTTTGCCGACTGCATGTGAGGCGGGGAGCAGGTGTGATGGACGACACCCACAGGAGGCCACTGCCCAATGACACTTGGAAGAGATTGTCTTTAACACCACAGGCGTAACACTTTGAACAATATAGAGATGCACGAACAGTTGAGTTTAGAAGTAGCAGTACTGGCTTTATGTAATAAAGGAAGCATTTTTAACTTCTCCCGTGTGATTTATTCATGTGTGAACCCGGGGGTAAAGGGTTTGCCTTCTATATATGGGGTAAGTTGGGGAGATTTGGATATTTTGGACAATTAGAGTTAAGGTCACTGCTCCCTCCTCTAAACAAATAACTCGGGAGTCTTTCTCTCATTCCAAATGTTTATTTGAATGCCAGGCTTTTATCTCCTCTCTGATTTATTTGGGAGGCAAAAAGGTTATGTTTTGATCAAAGTGCTGCTTTGGAAACTAGAAGATAGTGCAGGGTACTGTGCACTGATAAGCTGCTTGTCATCGTTCCGCCCTGAATCTGTTTTCTCTACTGCCAAGCAGTGCTTTTAGTGAATATATTAACAGGCCCCGAGAAGCGTTGTGGGCCCAACCAAGACCGCCCTTCTCAAGAATCAGCCTTTGTAGGTGCAGCCAGGAGTCTGAGAAGGCAGCCGTCTTTTCTGTGGTTTCAGCTCGTGACGTGTGGCACCACTTGTGTAACCACCCTCCAGGCAGTGGAGGTGGGGGGGTGGCGAGGGGGGAGGGTGGGAGCGGCTCACAGGTGTGTAGCACAGTGTAAACATCTCCCAGCACGCCACTGACCCCAGAAGTTGTGAAATGCTGATGGTTAACTCACTTCTCCGCCTAGGGGAACTTCTGAGTCTTTTTGGATTCCTGAGGTTGGGGCCCAAGCATCCTGCTAACAAGCTCTCCAGGTCATTCTGATGCAGAATGAGAGTTCTGAGACCTCAGCTGACACTGGTGAGGAATAAAACTGCAGGTGCACTCTGCCTTCAGCACCCTGACGCCTTTACAAGCATTAACACGTTACCAATCTGTTCATGGAAAGCTGGCTTAGGGTTCATTTAATAATTACTCTTGCCCTGAGGAAGCAGCCACTGCTAACAAAAATTCAGCTTAACTGTGAAGTTTGTTATTTCAGGGCATATTAATCTCTGAGAATACAGTGAACACAGTGACTCGAGTAATAGGATTAGACTTAGGCCAGTGGTTTCCTTTTTCAGATCTCCCTGGAGGGCTGGCTGGTCCATTCACAGGAAGTGCAGCTTCTGTCTCTTGATGGATCTTTGCCCTTCAGAGTGTCAGACTGGATGTGCCCAAGGACACATCACTTTGTCATGATTTGGTGCATTTCTGAAATATGGAAACAGCCTCCAGACCAAGTTCCAGCCGGGCTCCAGCTGGAAGAAGGGTCACTGTATGGTGGCTGGGAGGAGGATGGTCCAGGAGCCTGGGTTTTGGTGGGAGGAGCTGTGTTTGGCCAGCCCGTGGGCTCCTTGGGTTCCCCCTGGGCCCAGCGGGGTGGCGGGGGGAGGGGAGGGGCTTACTGAGCCCACAGCCAGTGCCTTGGTAACCCACCCAGAGAGGTAAAGTAACTTGCCCAAGGTCACACAGCTCATGGGCTGCACAGCTGGGCAGCTTGGGTCTCGTTTTCTGGTCCTGAGCTGTTCCCGTCACACCCCTGGCGAGTTCACTTCTGACCTCTGGATTCTGAGCTAGGTTTTGTTGCGTGCCAGGGATGAGACCTGAATTGGAGAGGGAAGGAAAACACCACCGTCCTTTTGGGCTTTAAGTCGTTTTAGGCCCGAACCTGCAGGAAGCTCAGGGAGAAGGCATTTGTGGAGTGTCTAGCGGTTTCTAGAATCTTGAGTTTTCTGCCCTGCAGGCCGGGCATCCCGATGATTGTCCACTTTACTGAACAGCATGCAGAGGTGACCAGAGGAAACTAGTGCGGGAGGCCCCCGCCAGCTTTCTGGGTGGGGCTTCCAGGTCTGGAGGGGCTGTCAGTGGGCCATGTGACCCCAGAGTTTTAGGTCCACCCGGGGAGCCTCTGAAGGGAGGGGTTCAGCCTGGATCTCAGAACTCCCACAGCTCTGCTGTTGGTCCGAGATGCAGCAACTCTGAGCCCAGCCTGGGGGCTTTGAACTTCATTCCCAGGGACTACAAAAGCTGGTTCCTAGGTGCCGCTCCATTTGCAGGACCGGGAGCTGTGAAAGACCAGAAAGATGCGCCCGGCTCCCGGGGTGTCTGCACCGTTGCAGACACCACCACATTGTAGAGAAACCACAAGGGGCCTCTCAGTCTCTGATGCTGGACGCTGGCGAGGGTGGCTGCCTGCAGCTCTCTCCTTCCCCAGCCTGAGGGTGGAACCTGGCCCAGGAACAGCGAGGCCCATGGGCGCCCCCTGCCGGCGCAGGAGCTGCCACCGCTGAGCCTTGGGGCTGCTCAGCCCAGCCGGACAGGCGGGGAGGGCGGGCCTCAGAGCTTGAGCCGCAGGAGCCTCCAGGTCAGATCCGTGGGGCCTCCTGTGCTGCACCTGCCTTTGACCTCCTCCCCACAGGGGACACTGGGCCCCACCAGGTGGTCGAGGAGGGACCCAAAGGCAGCAGCTCAGGGTCTCTTGTACCTTTCTCTGGGGTCCCCCACCCGTATTCCTGTGCCTGCAGAGGGCTTCTCCCCAGCATGAGGGGTCTCAGTTCTACAGCCAGTGGGGCAAGGGGAGGGGAGCTCACTGGAGATGCAGGCTCCCAGGCCGATGGTGGCCACTCTGATGCAGGAGTCCGGGCTCGGGGCATGGTGCTGGCCTGTTTCCCACCAGGAAACGGGGCCGCAAACCACTGACCATGCAGGAGGATGAGTTTTGGGCCCCACTCCACCGTGCACCGTGCAGGGCCCACCGGAGCACAGCGAGGCACAGCCCATCGCGACCACGCAAACCAGACCCTCCAGCCGCCGCCCCAGGCCTCCTGATGCCCTCCTGGGTGTTTGCTAGAGGCGGGGCTGCAGCCTCCCTGCCCTGTACCAGGTGGGCTACTCCCTGCTGTGGGGACTCCGCAAGTGTGGCTGCGTCAGGTGTGACGCGTCACTTCCTCCTGCTCAGTCTCCAGCCAGAAACCACTGCCTGGATCCCACATCCCGCGGGGGCCCCCTCCAGAGAAGAATGGTACTTCAGTGACCCCTGCTGCCTTCCCTGTCCAGACCTTTTATGCCCTTCGTAACCCAGCTCCTCAAGGCTTTCTTGCCCCGCCCCTGCCACCACCCCCAGCCCATCACAGGTCTGTGCCTCTGCACCACTGTCCCCTCAGCCTTGACCCTTCTTCCCTCCTGACAAACGTCTCTTCTGCTGAGCTCCAGCTCATGCTCACATCTCTGGGGAGCCTTCCCAGAATTCCCAGCACCCTGATCCCAACACAGCCACAACACACCAGTGCCACACAGTGTGTGTGGTCGGGCGGCCCATGGACCAAGTGGTCCCTGCAAGCCAGGGCCAGGTCTTGGTCACGCAGACCGAGGCCAGCACCGCCCGGCCCGCGGCAGCTGCTCACATGTGGGGCCGAAGGTGCCCGGAGGACACAGGGTGCTGCAATCCCCCTCCCGTGACAAACCGCCCCGGGGAGGCGTCAGCCCCAGCAGCAGGGGGCATGGGCCGCACAGAGGTCCCGGGAGGTGGAGAACCTAACTCCAAGACCACCCTTCCCTGGGTGCTGCCCTCCCTCCTGTTTGGCCGCACCTGCCGTCGGGGTGCTTGTCTTCCCCCGGCTGAGTTCAGCCCCTCAGCCCCCAGCTCTCAGGAGTCTGAGTCTTGGGACTGAGCTGAAAGCAGACAGACTGGCTGGTGCTGCCCAGGGGCATCGGTCCGCTGATTCGCCTTCCCTGCTGGTGGTGCAACCACTCCTGCGACCCAACCTCTAAACCTGTCTTTTGCTTACACGCCAGGTTCCTCACAAAGACCCGAGCACACACCTGTTGACCAGTTTCTCTGGGGCCACCGAGCACAGTGGGTCTGATCTGAGGCTCACGGGAAGGTAAGGCAGCTGCCCCAGCCCTGGAGCAGCCCGCCTGAGGTGTGGACGTCTGCCTAGGTCCTGGCCAGAAGACAGAGGCCCCTTCGTTCGTTCCCGGAACTCACTTCACAGGACAGCCTCGGCCACCCACAGCCCCTTGGGGTGGGGGGTGCGGTCAGCGCATCCGGCCACCCCACCAGGTGTCACAGGCCCTGCTCCCTCATCCCGCCCAGTGGGTGCTAGGACCTGGGTGGCAGGACAGGGAAAGCAGTGGGACGAGGACCCGGAACCACACCCGTTCTCTCCCTGAGGGAGCCCCTGGTCCCTCATCCCTGCCCAGCACCAGGTGTGGGAGCCCCGCAGGAGACCAGACCAGACCGCAGTGCCGGGCGACATGTGGGTTTTAATGGATTTCACGTCTAGGAGGTCACATCAGTTCTGGTGTCAACTCCTTCCAGGGCTCAGGGCTGCTGCCTCACTGGGTTGTGACTCTCCAGTCTCAGCAGCCCACCCACCCACAAGACCGCCCACCGCCTGACCCCCGACCCCACAAGAGGCAAAACAATTGCACTGACTGACATACAGGTGCCCAGAGGTCCCGGCCTCCCCAGCACACACCCCGGGTCTGCCCCACAGCTGATGAGGGCTTTGGTGTCCGCTGGCCGGCGGTCCAGGGCTGGTCCTGGGGAATAGTGTTTATCAAATGTGACAAAGGTTCTCTTACAAACGGGGATCTGGAAGATCTATTTCTGGTGCTGAGACACTGTCGTCTCTGACGGCGTCTCAGATGCGAAGTCAGGCCCGGAGGACAACGCTGTGTCGGCTGGGTGGTTGACTTGTAGGAATGTGTAAGGCATTTTGGTAAGTGGAACAATAACTTCTTTTTCCGCAGGAGACTCAGACAGAGGTGCCCTCCTTTGAGCTGCCGCCATCCTCCTGTGGAAAAGGACAGAGGGAGGGAGAGGCTGGGGCCAAGGAGCCCAGGGGAGCACGCGCCCCAGCTCCGAGGGCCCTCCCGTCCCTGCAGGTTAACCCTCCTAAACCACCCCAACGCCTCCAGAGAAGGCCGGCCCAGCCCACCACGTCTGGAGTCCCAGCGAGGACTCGCTCCGGGGCTGGAGGAGACGCCCGAGGGCTCGGCGGGAGCGGAGGACACAGAG